AAATGCAAATCAAAACACAATGAAATATCATCTCCTCCCAGTTAAAATGGCTACTATCAAAAAGATAAAAAATGACTGGTTTCTTTCTCTTGGCATACCCATTTTTTTCTCTTGGCATACCCATTCCAGTGAGCATAAACTGTTGGTGGAAGTATAAATTAGTACAACCATTATGGAAAACAGTATGAATCTTCCTCCTAAAACTAAAATACAATTAATATGATCCAGCAATCCCACTACTGGATACATAGCCAAAGGAAATCAAAGAGATTGTATGTAGGAGATACATCTTACCTGCATGTTCATTGCAGGACCATTCATCAATAGTCAAGGTATGGAATCAATCTAGGTGTCCATTGATGCGTGAATGGATAAAGAAAATATGGCACATATACACAATTGGATATTATTCAGTCATAAAAAGAATGAAATCTTGTTATTTGCAGCAACATGTTTGGAACTAGAGGGTATTGCATTAAGTGAAGTAAGTCAGAAACAGAAAGATAAATACTGCATGTTCTCACTTATATTGGAAACCAAAAGTTATCTCAAAAAAGGAGATGATAGAATAGTAGTTACCAGATCCTAGGAAGGGTATGGGAGATGGACATGTGGAGAAAGGATGGTTAATAGGAACAGGGATGCACTTGTATAGGAAAAATAACCTCTAATATTCTAGATAGCACAGTAGGATGACTGTGGTTGGCCCCAATTAATTGGATATTTCAAAATAGCTAATTGAGAGGATTTTGAATATTCCCACACAAAAAAATGATATATGTCTGAAGTGATAGTTATGCCAATTACACAAATCTGATCATTACACATTATATGCATGTATTAAAATGTCACATGGACTCTATAAATATGTATAATTACTGTTAATTTAATAAAAAGTATTAATATACAAATTCTTCCAAACAGATGGGGAAATATAATGAGGAGGTATTTTAAAAAGTTAAAATGTCCTGACAACACCTTATTTTAAAAATGTTTACAATTCAAAGATTTTTACTATATTCACATTTACATATCACCATACAATATTTTTATTACCCTCAAAAGAAATCTCACACCTTTTACTTATCACCTCACAACCAACTCTACCCCCAGCCCTAGGCAACCACTAATCTACTATCTCTATAGATTTCCCTAGTTTGAACATTTCATATAGATAGAATCATAAAATATGTGATGCTCAGTGACTGGTTTCTTTCTCTTGGCATACCCATTTTGTATGCATCAACACTTCAAGTCTTTCCTGGGCTAGCAGGGGAGCACATGCACATAGACTTCTAGGTTTTGTTGAGAGCCACAGACGAAGGGGCCCCAGCAAACTTCCAGCTGCCAGCTGATGATTGGCTCACAGAGGCCCCAGCAACTTCTAGCTGCCAACTGATTGGCTCCTCTGTGGTGATGCTCATTGGGCTGTTTCCCTGCCCTTTCAGACCACAGAGCTGCTCATTGGGGCACTTATTTTGGCTCCGCCCATGCGACCCAGCCAATCAGCCTCAAGAGCAGGAGGAGTGGGGGAGGTTGAGAGGCTTGTGGGAAGGCGGTGGTGGCAGTTGGGCTCTGAGGGTTTTTCCTGAGGAGCTGTGTGGTGTGGTGTGTGTGTTCTAAAAATAAAGTTAGTTTCTTTTTTCAAGTGGCTCCTGAATTGTGCCCAGCCAGACTGCGACAAGGTTTCCAGGTATATTTTCAAGCTTTGCAAAGCTCCACATAGGCATTGTATTTCACAGTTATTCTTTTCAGGGTTTTTGCTTTGTTTTGATCAGCTCCTTGTTAGTTCCAACTGGTTTCAACTTTGTTTTGATCAGCTCCTTGTTAGTTCCAACTGGTTTCAGATGCATGGTGCATCTGAAATGTTAAATGATTGCCATTGATTGTTTTCAACAAATTCCCTAAGGATAAGACTACTCACATACACACAAACAGTGTGAATAGACTCAAGTCAAATAAAGACAAGTCTTGAGAATGAAGATTTTCAGGGAATTGCAAAATAGGTTAAATTGCAACCTTTCTCTGGAGATGAAATTTTTGGAAACTTTTAAGTACACTTTGCTTTTCCCCATTAGTGACTGCTGGGCTTTTGGTTTACAACTATCATTGTAATAAACTAATTGGGATATATATAAGGAGATATTTGGTAATACAAAGGAATTAATGGATTTATGCAACAGAATGGATGAATACTAAAATAATTGTGCAGAGAGAAAGAAACCAGACCAAAAAAAAAAAAAAAATCATAGGCTAGGCATGGTGGCACATATGCCTGTAATCCTAGTAGCTTGAGAGGCTGAGGCAGGAATATCTCAAATTTAAAGCCAGCCTCAACAATTTAGTGAGGCCCTGAGCAACTTAGTGAAACTCTGTCTCAAAATAAAAAAATAAAAATAAAAAGGGCTGGGATGTAGCTCAATGTGAAAGCATCTCTGGGTTCAATCTCTAGTACAAAAAAAATTAATATAAATGAAATCTTATTTATGATTTCTTTTGGGGGGGGGACCAGAGATTGAACTCAGGGGTGCTTATACACTGAGCCACATTCCCAGCCCTTTTTAAATTTTTTTTTTAAAGACAGAATCTTGTTAAGTTTCTCAGGGCCTCACCAAGTTTCTGAGGCTGGCCTTGAACTTGCAATCCTTCTGCCTCAGCCTCCCAACCTGCTGGGATTATGGGCATGCACCATTGTGCCCAGCACATTTATATAAAGTTCTTTAAAAAGCAAATTAATCACCAGACACAGTGGCATATGCCTATAACCCCAGTGGCTCAGGAAGCTGAGGCAGGAGGATTGCAAGTTCAAGGCCAGCCTTAAAAACTGGCAAGATCCTGAACAACATATCAAGAACCTATCTCAAAATTTAAGAAAAACTTTAAAAAGGACTAGCTCAGTGGTTGAGCACCCCTGGATTCAATTCCTGGTGCCAAAAAAAAAAAAGTAGATTAATTTATAGTTTCAAAAAGTAGCTCAATGTTTACATTGGGAGGGAATTTCAAAGGAGTTATAGAACATTTTTTGAAATAAAAGATATTTATTTATTTTGATTATACTCATGGTTTCATGAATATGCTAATAGAAAACCCTGCTAAATTATATACTTTATACATATGTAGTTTATTGTATACCAACTACACTCAATAAAAACATAAAAATATGAAAACAAGCTATATTGTGAAGATCTAATATAATAAAAACTACAAAAAGTCTTAATATATTTTGACTGATATTACACTAGATCTATAAATCAATTTGAGAAGAAATGATATCCTAAGAATATTATGTTTTCTGATTCATGAATATCACATATCTGCATTCATTTAGATCTTTAATTTCCTTAGCAATGTTTTGTAGTTTTTTTTTTTTTTTTTGGACAAAACAATGACTTTTTTTTTTTTTTTTTTGGTACCAGGGATTGAGCACAGGAGCACTGAGTCACATCCCCAGTCCTACAATGACTTGTTTCTAAGTTGAGTTCTCACTATGTTGCTCAGGCTGATCCCTGGAAGGGGATCAATCCTCCTGCCTTAGCCTTCAGAATAGCTGAGACTGCAACTCACACCACATGTCTGCCTAAATTTATTTTTTGCATCCTGGGGATGGAACTGTGGGCTTTGCATATGCTAAGCAAGCACTCTACCACTAAGCTACTTTTTAAACTTTTTTGAGACAGGGTCTTGCTAAATTGCCCAGCTTGGCCTTAACTTGTAATCCTCCTGCCTCAGCTTCCTGAATAGCTGGGATTACAAGCTTGTGGCCACTGTGCCTGGTCCAGCTAATGACATTTTAAGGTCAACAGAACTAAAAAAAAATGTATTGCTCAACAATTGTCTATACAGGAAATATGAGTAAATTTTTTATAGTATGAAGAAAATTTTTTCTAGTCATAACATAAAATCCAAATTTCTCAAAAATATGGAATCTTAACATTGAAATTTTACTTTTGGACTGGGGATAGCTCAGTGGTAGAGCACTTGCCTAGCATGTACAGTGGGTTCCATCCCTACCCACTTAAAAATAAACTTTTGTGTGGCATGTTTAAAAAATGAACTTGTAAAGAAACATGAAGAAGGGGATGGGATTGTAACTCAGTGATAGAGCACTTGCTTATCATGTGTGAGGCACTGGGTTCCATTCTCAGCAACACATAAAAATAAATAAAATAAAGGTTCATCAACAACTAAAAAAAATTAACAAAACAAAACAACACTAAGAAAACATCCATCACTTAAACAAAGTCTAATTGCCCCAGCATGAACAGGGAGCTAAAACCCACTAAGGACTTATACCCCAATAGTAAAGCAAGAATGGGCAGCTTCAAAAAGAGAAAATAAAATTATCCAATAAGCTATAAATTTGCCAAGGCTCAGTAAATTAAAAAAAAAAATAGCAATGACATTTTGCTACTCCGACTGGCATTTTAAAAATAAAGTTGGCAAGTAGGTAAGAGTAAATAAGTATTTTTGTATTACTGTAATAACAAATAGGAAAAAGCTTTTTGGCAGGAATAACTGGCAATGTATTAGGAATTTAAATATTTCCATTCTTTGACCCAGCAGTTCTTCTTCCAGGAATATATCCTAGAGCAATTCTTACCAGTGCTTCAAGACAAGGACAAAGTATTCACTGTGGCACTGTGGGTAACCTTGCACGCTGGAAACTTCCAGTGCCTATCATTGGAGCCACCAGGATATAAATGCCAGGACTGCTTACACGCTGGAGTGATGCCATTTTCCAGAGTGAAGTAGATGTATGCTAGATGGGTCAACATGTCTAAGACATGGTGACCAGTAAAAAAGCAGACTGCATAATTGCACAAAGAGCACAATCATACTTCTGCAAAAGAGAGTTGGGTTGCTTTTGCATAGAAGGCAATATGACCCCCTACTGAAGGGCAGGGAGAATTTTCACATTATATATAGATGCACATATTTTTAATGAGCATATATTAGTCTAATAAGCAGAAAAATACAAATAACAAATCATGATTAGTAAAGCCTTTCTCATAATTACTTTAAAATTTCTTATAATGAATGATGCATATAATTTATCTGTCCTTATTCATACATATAATGTATGAATTAAGTACCCAAAAAAGTCCACTATTATGGATAACAGCATAATTAGAGTTTCACTTGGTCACAACTTCCTTTCCAAACTCTGCTCAGCTCCAGGCACTGCGTGACACCCCATGGATAAGAACTAGCTAACTGGGCCAAGTCTCCTGGTGGCCACAACCAGGACCCACAGTATTTGGAGAAATAGAAAGGGGAAAGCAGGCCCAGATCCTCAAAGAATTTGACCACTCGTGCCAAAACAATCTCACTGACTTCCATGCTTCTTCCCAAATCTCAAGTTCATAAAAGGAGCCATGGTGTTCATCAGGGAGAAAGAGGGAAGCTTCCAATGCAGACAGACAGCAAAGGTAAAGCAACCAGCAGGATGATATTTGAGGGTAGGAGAAACATTCACAACAAGTACAGGAGAGGGGCAGTGCAGAAGCCTCTGGCTTCACTCCACCCATGGTGTGGGACAATACTCATGTCTTGCCCTGCCTCTCCTGAGGACATCTACCTGTCATTTCTTCAGGGCTGTAGGCTGGTCCTAAGCCCCCCTGCCAGAAAGACAGTAGGTAGGGAGGCCCTGGATAAGTGATTACCATCAGCAACCAGATTACTATAAAGATAGGGAAAATCATATTTTAAAAGGGGGGAATTTAGGACTATTTCCAAAATGCAAAATTTCAATTGTCTCCCATTATTTGCACACATTTTTGTCAAGTCCAAACATAATTTAAAATGAGGTAGGTAGCTTCTCTCCTCATGCCTTTGTCTTTGTGGTGACAGTTGAGGCTTGTGCCATGAAAGCACTCGTCTCCTGGGCAGGGGCAGCCCCGAGGGCGGGCACCAGTGGCTGGTAGAGCTTCTCAGTTGGCTATTTTCTCAATCTCGTCCAAATCATCTGTGTCCAATCTTTCTATCTTCTTATTAAAATGTTCCTGGATTCTGTTCAGGATGTTCATGCTGTGCTTGCTGTCAACCATGTTCACGGCCAGGCCTCTCTTGCCAAAGCGGCCAGTGCGCCCAATCCGGTGCAGGTAGGTCTCGTTGTCTGGGTTCCCGTCCTTGTCCACAGGAAGATCGAAGTTGATGACGACAGACACTTGTTCAACATCGATGCCACGAGCACACACATTGGTGGTCACCAGAACCTTCTCTTTGCCCTCTCGGAAGCGCTCAATCACAGCAGCCCTCTGCTCCACCATCATTTCTCCACTCAGCAGAGCCACCTGGTGGCCTTCTTTTGAGAGCTCTGCTGCCAACCAACTAGCTGTTTTGCGGGTATGGCAGAAGATCATGGCTTGTGCGATGGTGATGGCCCCATACAGGTTGCACAAGGCCTGGAACTTCTCGTCTCTGTTATTGCACAGGACATAATACTGCTTAATGGTGTCCAATGTCTCCTCCTCACGCTTCAGTTTGATAATGTTAGGGTCTGGGACCACTTTCTGGGCAAACTTCCACACAGAGTCTTCAAAGGTGGCAGAGAAAAGCAACATCTGGCAGTTCCTGGGCAGCATCCTCTGGATGCGGATGCTCTGATCTTGGTGGCCTTGAGTGGCTATCATCACGTCGGCCTCATCCAGAACAAATACCTTGATCCTCTTAGGGTCAATGAACCTGAGCTTGGAGCACCAGTCCAGGACAGTCCCAGGGGTACCAATGACAATCTGCTCACTGATCTTCTGACCCCTTTCCAATTTATTGCCTCGAACAGCATAAGCAAGCTTTAGTTCTGGATGAAATTTGCCCATCTGCTCAATCACTTTTCCTGTTTGAAGTGCCAATTCATATGTAGGGGAGAGGCAGAGACACTGAGGGTATCTGCCTGCTGGTTCTACTCTGCTAAGCATGGCCAGGACAAAGGCAGCTGTTTTTCCAGTGCCAGACTGAGACTGGGCAATCAGGTTCTGTGGGGGTTCAGCAAGCATCATGGGTAACGCATTCTCTTGTATCTTGGATGGTCGATTGAAGCCCATGGCATAGACTCCCTGGAGAAGCTGTGGCTTCAGTCGAAGCTCTTCAAAAGACTTCACTGTGTAGAGCGGGGAGTTCGGATCCCGCTGCAGGACTTCCACTTGGTTAGTGTTATCCACAAGGTTGCTTCGGATCAGCTTGTTGAGTAAAGACTGGGCAGCTCTGTCCTCTTTCTCTTCTTCATCTGTCTTCTCTGCAGTGGTACTGGTTTTGATAACACCATTGGTATCTGGTTTGACCTTCTCTTCCTTGATCTGCAAACTGCTCATCGATTTGACAGCCGCCTCCTGTTCGTCCACCGCCAGGGCCCACGAGTCGGTGGCCATGGTCCTGGTAATGGTAGGGTAATTCGCGAAAACCTGCACAACACAGCGCACCGATATCAGTCCCCGGCCCGCAACCGGCGCAAGACCTGTTTTGTAGTTTTTTAAAAAATATTTTTTAGTTGTAGATAAACACACAGTATCTTTATTTATTTTTATATGGTGCTGAGGATCAAATCCAGTGCCTCACCACTGAGCTACAGCCCCAGCCCTGTTTTATGGTTTTTTGATGAACAAGTCTTACATATCTTTTTCAAGAACATTTCCTATATTTGGATACCATTCGAATTGGGTTTTAATTTCAATTTTTGATTATTGTTATGATTATAAAGAAATACAGTTGATTTTTGTGTATCTATCTTGCATTCTAGTACATTGCTAAACTTATTTTCTAGTTCTAGTAATTGATTATTTTTTAATTCCAAAATTTTCTCTTTGAACAATCATGTTGTCTGAATATAAAAATAATTGTATTAGTTCCTTTACATTTTGAATGTTTTAAATTTCGTTTTCTTGACTTATTGCGCTGGCTGAGCCCCAAGTACAATGCTGAAAAAAATTGACAAGGGTAGAAATCTTTACCTCATTCTTGTGCTTAGGGGAAAATGATTCAATTTTTCATCAGTCAGTATGCTATTTGCAATATGTTTTGTGTAGATGCTTTTTCTGCATTAAGAGATTATCATATAGTTGTACAAGATATTTTAGCCTAACTTGGTAAATTAAATGGGTTTATTACACTGATCACAATTTAAAGGATATCTCAGCTTGCACTGGCTTAATTTTAAGTGTTCAACATTCCCACCAGGCTAATCACTATTGTTTTAGACACTGCAGTTCTCTATGTTCTTAGCCATTCTGCTATACTACCCAATCCAATGGTCTAAAAGTTATTACAGGTTTGCATTTCAGAATACCTATCAAGAGTCTTTTTCATAGCCAGGCATGGTAGTGCTCAACTGTAATCCCAGCAGCTCCAGGGGCTGAGGCAGGAGGATCATGAGTACAAAGTACAAAGCCAGCCTCAACAACTCAGTGAGGCCCTAAGCAATTTGGCAAGACCCTATCTCTAAACGAAATATAAAAAAGGACTTGGGGATGTGGCTCAGTGGTTAAGTGCCCCAGGATTCAATCCCTGGTACCCCCCCCCCCAAAAAAAGTCTTTTTCATGAATCTCTTTGAAGATGAAACACTTTTGTATTATGAGTCCTTAAAAAAGCTCTGTCAGTAGGCCACAGAGTACAACAATAACTGTCTGTGTATGACAAAGACTTTAAAGGGCCATAGTTAAAGATCTTATGAGAGTTCCTTTGCTGAGAAAATTTAGTTATTACTGTTGTAGTCAATATTATAACATAACCACAATTACGACTGATAAGCCTGCATATCTTATTATGAACAGTGAGAGTACTGGAAAATTTCTACGAACGTCATATATTTTCAAATACTTAGATTAAAAATATATGCCCATATCTATATAAACAGGTTTACCTTCACTGTATTTAACAGTGCTTTACATGAAATTTAACATATCAAATAATCCTAATTTGTTAGATATCTCTCTTTTAGAAAGAGACAGAACAGAATCAAACCCAGTACCTCACACATGCTAGGCAAGGACTTTACCATCAGGCTACAACCTCAGCCCAGCAAATAACCTTTTATCTGCGGGAGAAACACAGACCCATGGACTACACCCTGCTAATAAGAAGACACAAGTTACCATGAAGGGAGACTTGTGTGGCCTTTACACAGATCGGATTCCAGGAGTCAGGGAGACAGGATAACTAGAAGCAAAGCCAAGCTCCCCAACCATAACATCTCTAAGAACAAGTTTCAATTAAAATCAATCAACATGGGTCAAGGACCCAGAGTTGCTTTGGATCTTTAGCATATTACTATAATACTAAAATCTCCCTTCTATGGGGCAAGGCCATACTTTTGACTTATTTTCAGTCAAAAGTCAAGAGGTGGACCTAGATGGGACTTATTAAAAACTTCCCTGGGACCCTCAATAAAACAGAAGTGCAGAAGGGGTACACTGTCCCTCTCCTCTCTGAGAGGGTCCACTGTCCCCTTTTCCTACCCTTCTAATAAACTCATGATTGCTATTATATGCAACTCACTTGAAATTCTTTAGGGAGTATTGCAAAAACCAGTGACCAAGGACCTCTGCAATAGCTTCAGCAACACAGGCAGGTCTTGCTCTGTAATAATATTAAGAAAATTCTGTATTTTTAAGTAATCAAAGACCTGAAAAAGAAAACATGAAGCACAGGAAATTGCTTTGATAACATATATAATCTTGGTGTTACTTAAAAGGTTAAAAGGTTTATTACCACCAAGTGCAGTGACACACACCTGTAATCCCAGCAGCTTGGAAGGCTGGGGTGGGAGGATCATGAGTTCAAAGCCAGCCTCAGCAATGGCAAGGCACTAAGCAACCCAGTGAGACCCTGTCTCTAAATAAAATACAAAATAGGGCTGGGGATGTGGCTCAGTGGTCAAGTGCCCCTGAGTTCAGTCCCCAGTACCCACCCCCCAAAAAAAGGTATATTACTTAAAAAGTTTTAAAAAAAAAGTAGATCAATACTCCAAGAAAACTCATTTTACAGAGAAAAGCACTAATTCTACTTTTGCATCAATGTATTATTAATTCTAGTTAATTTTAATAAAAGTTTATAAATATATCCATCTGATCGTAACCATATTTAACCACACAAGGTTCCTTTCCCAAGATTCTTAATTTTTTAATTCATTAATTTTTGTCCTTCATTCTTCTTTTTCATTCTAAAATAACCTGTCATTCTATTCTAGTATGGAATTCCTTTTGCTTTTAACAAAAATGTGTACTTCACACCTTTCTTATCAAGACACAATTTACTTTCTTATACACCTCTCACAATTAATACAGGTATAGTCTGTTTCTTCATAATACAAACTTCTCATGAGGCAAATGACATATTTATTACTAGATCCGAATAGATTTACCTTTTATATACCATATAAAAATAAGATGCTTGAGTTGGGTTTGTGGCTCAGTGGTAGCACACTTGTCTGGCATGTATGAGGCACTGGGTTCAATCCTCAGAACCATATAAAAATAAAGGCATTGTACCCACCTACAACTAAAAAAATTTTTTTGAGACATCAAATTAAACTATAGTCTTAAATTACTTTTGGTTGTTGTTGACAAACAACCACACAGGCAAATATAAAAAGTACCACATAAACAAAAAATCTCACTGAGTTGCTTAGTGCCTTGCCATTGCTGAGGCTGGCTTTGAACTCGTGATCCTCCCACCCCAGCCTTCCAAGCTGCTGGGATTACAGGTGTGTGCCACCGCACTTGGTGGTAATAAACCTTTTAACCTTTTAAGTAACACCAAGATTATATATGTTATCAAAGCAATTTCCTGTGCTTCATGTTTTCTTTTTCAGGTCTTTGATTACTTAAAAAATATAGAATTGCCCAACAGTACATACATGTAATCCCAGACACTCAGGAGGCTGAGGCAGGAGGTCACATGCTCAAGGACAGACTCAGCAATTTAGTGAGACCCTTTCTCAAAATAAAAAATAAAAAAGGCTAAGAATGTAGCTCAGTGACAGAGCACCCCTGAGTTCGATCCCCAGTAAAAGCATTTACCATGCTTGACATACATCAAGCAATTCCTTTTTAATTAACATTTTGTTCTTTTTTTTTTTTAGTGTTTTAGTTGTAGTTGGACACATACATTTTTTTTTTTTAATGTGGTGCTGAGGATCAAACCCAGCACCTCACACACATGCTAGGCAGGCACTCTACTGCTGAGCGGCAACCCCAGCCCAACATTTTGTTCTTATTGATTAGATTTATAGTTTTACAATCTTGTTTTTGCTTGCTTGTTTTGTGATGCTGGAGGCTGAACCTAGGGGTGCTCTATCATTGCATACTAGAGGATTACTCTACCAACTAAACTACATCCCTAGCCCTAGTTTTATCATCTTAAACATAAACATACGCTTGTTTGACTGGTGAACCCAAGTTGAATAAAACTATATGTCCACATTATCTTTTTTTTCTTTTTTAAATGATGCTGGGGATTGAATTCAAGGCTTTGTTCATGCAAGGCAAGCATTCTACCAACTGAGGTATATCCGCAGATGCCTCATTGTCTTTAATACTGAAAATTCTGAAGATATTCCTGCTTTTATTTCACCAGCATATTAAAAATAAGCTTTATTTGCCAAAGTTTGTCCCACATCAACTATTTAAATTTTGGGCTGGTTTCTACATTTCTGAGAATTTTAGGAATATTTAATTTATAAGCACTTCAATCTGAATAGAATTTCTTTAAAGGATTTTATTAAGTGATTTGGTAATACTACCCATAGGTAGAAAAATATCACACATCTGTAATATCCATCCATATATACATAAATATACATACCATACAAACATGAACAGAGATCTTAAACTTTTGTCCTAAATTTTTAGCTATGTTTCAATAAAACTTAGTAATCCTACTGTTTGGATATTCTCTCTCTCTCTCTCTCTCTCTCTCTCTCTCTCTCTCTCACTCACTGTGTTGGGATTTGAACCCGGGCTTTGCCTTTGTTCTAACATAACGCTATCTACAACCCCAGTCCTTCCCTTTATATTTTTATCTGAATATCATGGCACAAATTAAGTTTTCCTGTTTATCAATATTTATGGAGGAGACCTTTATGATTTTGATTTTTATTTGCCCTAATAAGTAATCTCATGGAGGTAAAAGGAGACCTCTGGCAGCTATCCAAATAATCCCAAAGCACTTTTGGGTGGATAAATAAATCTAATGTACTAACAGTTAGCCTTCTTTCTTTTCAGCCACAGGTAGTTGCTTTTGAGGCACCCTGAGTCCCTTAAAAAGCGGGAAAAATCTCAAGTTCAAGTGATTGAGAGGCTGAAGTGAGGAGAAAGATCTGGCAAGGGTGGAGAGAGGGACAGAAGAGGTAGGGGTTTGAAGGGTGAAATATTAAACTGATAAGAACAGATACTACACTTGATCTTAGCCAAAAGGCCAAGAAGCAATAAAGAGTGAAATATTAAAGATTCTAG